TTTTTTTTTGTTTTTGAAGTGAAAACTTATTATTTATCTTATCTTTTTTGTCTGTCATAGATGCATTCTCTCGGTATAGACATTGGTACGACATCATGTAAAATTTGTGTTGTTTCAACATCATCATCAAACGAAAATAATCGTATTATCTTTACAGAACAACTGGCTCATAATGCTCATATTATTCAAAAAGAATTTGCTTCATTTGATGAACAATCTCCATCACAAATTCTTGAAATTGTTGATATTCTTCTAGAGAAATCAGGCAGTGCTTTAATGAGAAATCATGTTTTATAACAAGAACTTAAAGAGAGAGTACAGTGTCAAGTTATATTTAATGAACATTCCGATGCTACTTATGGTGCTGCTCTGTTTGCTTTGATGCAATAATGCATTCTTTGTGACCATTTACAAAGGATATAAAGTTAATAATCGCATTTTGCGACTCTTCTTTCTCTGTCGAGAAACATCCGATTTAAACTGCTCCGTCTCCTCTACTGGGTCATCAAGTTTCCAAAGTTTTCATTTGAAAGAATCCATTTGCTCAAATATAACGGGCGACCAGAAAGTAATTAGACGAAATGTCTATTCTCTTTTTAGCCTCTAGAAGTTAGAAAATATTGGACTAGAATCAGAGTTTTGTGTTCTTTCCGAATATGGGTTTAAACATTTTGTAGAACTTATAGCTTGATAGTTATGAACTGATCTTTTAGAGGCTCGGAAATTAATTTTAGACGAACTTTAGCATGTCAAAAATTACCCAAATCAGAACCTAAAACAGTAAATACTTCTCTTTAAAATGTTATACCAATGATTAGTTTGCTGCAAGTCATTAGTCAACAGTGAGTATTTCTGGTAAGAAGCCTCTTGTCAATTTAGGCAATTTGCTCGAATTCTATGGAGCCATTCCTGAAGAATGGTTCTAAAACTATTGATTATTGTATCACTACTTTGTAGGAAATAATCTCGCCTTTAATTCTATACTAAAAAAATCGATCATATCACGCATGCAGTAAGGGAATCTATTATTGTGAAAATGGGAATTTTCTTCGTTCGTACTTGATTTTCGCATTTCTAAAAGTTCGACTTATAACTCCTCAACCAGAAGCTTTGGAGAAATTACGAACTTCTATTCAGAAACAGTGCAAAATTTTGATTCTAACCTATTATTTTTTAAAATTCTGCAGATTTCTTCAACAAACTAAAAAGCCAATGAACGTTTTGCCTACTTATTTTTCGATTATCCGTTACTGTTGTTTTTTTTCGTATTAAACGATTAATATATTTTTTATATACGATATTTATTCGTAGACGATACGTCAGACAACTTTGAGACTTTGTTATTTTGAAAATGTTGCTAAAACCAATTGAATTTGAAAATTTTGCGAAAAATAGTCAAAAAACGTAATAAATGTCCATACGTCCGGATGCGTCTGACTTGTCTCCTACCACTGGTTAGCAATGTCCAATTTCGGCTGACTCACCTCGTTCTCTGAACATCCTTTTCGAATGAGTCCATAGTTTTTATTGATTTGCTTTTAGATAGAAAAAATACTAGATGACAGACGAAGAAATCGTTGATGTTATTATAGTAGGAGCTGGAATATCAGGACTCTATGCAGCTTATCGAATCAGACAAATAGCACCAGAACTTAAAATACTTGTACTCGAAGCAAAAGGTAAATAAAATAAATTCAAAATGAAATCACTTTATTGTTTTTGAAAAAAAGATCGAGTTGGTGGTCGCACATTAACAGCTGATCTTAAAACGTCACATGATGGAAATGAAACAGATCGATTTGATCTTGGTGGTCAATGGGTGACTGAGTATGACATTTTCTATGTTGATTCGAAATATTTCTATTTAATAATATTTAGTACGCAAGAAAATATAACAACATTACTTGAGGAATTGCAATTAGAAACATATATGCAATACCATACAGGCAAAAGTATATCAGAATTACATCGTCGTGTACAAAAATATGGATTACCAGTACCATTTGTATCTTTACTTTCATTTCTTGAAACTATTTATAGTGTTTTTCGAGTAAAAAAAAATTAATTAATTTTAGTTTTGCTTATTTTTATTCTATTATTTTTTTAAATAGCTTGAAAGTTTAGTATCGAATGTTCCACCATGGAATCCCATGATGACAAGAAATGCTGATTATCTTGATCAACATACACTTGCAGATTTAATGAAACCATGGATACGCAATAGTAGATATTGTGATCATCGA